CTTTCATGTTGCACTCATTATCGTAGTTCAAGCTCACCCCATACATAATACTCAGCCTTTTAGATCCAACTGTTTATTGTGGAGAATAAAGAAGACCCTAACCAGGGAAAGTAAGAATGACAAGACAGGTCAATGACCTTATCACAATCGTGGCACGTCTCTACTGTAAATCCTCCTCTAAGTCCGTCTTAACTGTTGCTTCCCTTGGATTTAACTGGATGGTGACTTAATGGAATTAAAGCTCACGGAGATATTCTCAAAGATATACCTAAAAGAGAGGGATGAGGTATTATAATACAAGGGGTTTTCTTTAACGACGTGGTTGTTAGTTTCAACTTTGCTATGGATAAATTTAGAAACCGATCATTCTAAAACAAGCTCCTTAAATTTTATAGTAGGATAAGACAACCAAAGTCTGATGCATTTTATAGTTTGAAGTTCAATGTGTATCTCAAAATAGGCATTCATAAGTAGTAAGTGGTACTAGTAATTTGTGCTAAAATTTAATTGAAGAACATCATTCAACTGTCAAGAAGGTTATATTAATTATCACACAGTAAAGATAAAAGTAAGGTTGTAAGTACTTAGGTGAGTAAAATAATTTAGTGACGTAATGATATCGAAGCTCCTAGCCTAATAATTATAAACCACACTACGACAGCATAATACTTACTTAGTACTATGCTATACTCGCACTGTTTAAACTAGTATTCACTACAAAAATTATTCGTGCTATAGTTTTCTGTGTATTTATTAGACTCTGAATTTAGTTTATATTTTACTTTTCATACATTTTGTGAATTAATTGTCTCAAACGAATATAAGGAAGGGAGTGTTGCTCTTTTCCGTACATATTTGTACACGGTTGGTACATTTCTAATGTTACTTCCATTGTATTGTTTATCTGTTGTACACATGGAGGAGGAATTCATCATAAACACGGTTTATTCTTTCCAAATAATTAATAGCCTTTTGTTCCCTGATATTTCTTTATCATAATTGTAACTAAATTATTTAAAATAAATGGGTTAGGATTAATGTCAATGGTAAAACATTTTTTTCTCAAACTCTTAAGAAACTATTAAACTTCCATCTTTTATTTAACGTCTTTCGAAAGAATACAAGTTTTAATTTACGCTTCATAAATTTCCCAACCATTTACTCTTTCTCGTCAGATTGCCTGCATTTGATCACTTTATTAAATTTTTTAATTACAACAATCCATCGAAAGATTTTAGCCAAAAAATTATAATTAATTTCATTGGAAGTCAATTTATAATAATGTTTTAGTGTCATTTTTAAGTTGATAATATGATATATGTATTAAGTTATAAGTTATAATATAAGTAGTATCATCATTTGAAGGTTACTTATGGGATATGATCTAGTCTCCTATATTTTACTTTGTGACTGACATGATAACCGGTTTTTTTATTGTGGATGTTGTGAAATCAAATGTTGAAGTGGATAATAGTAGTTTACGTAGCGATAGCGTTAAGTTAGTCTTTACGACACGAGTAGGTATGAGCCTTGGCAAGTGCCTTAAAAACTTCTACGAGTGTCGTAAGACTACTAACGTGAGTTACGTACACTACTTTACCCACGACAGTTTCTTAATTACTAACAATCAATACTCATAACTTCTAAGAGATGTTATGTTTTCGTTTATAACCTCAAACGAATCATTGCACCAAACACTAATTGCACCATTCATCATCAACAATAACAAAAATGGTCTTAACAGCTGATTAGTTGACTTTCGAAGCATACAATTTTACTTCTTCTCTCTCAGTCCTTGAACCTTATTGGTCCGTTACTGGTGTTGTTAAGTAAAAATATGCTATTATGTAAGTAAACAATTCTGTTATGTGATACTTTTCAATTATAAGAACTGAACTGAAACGGCTACTTTAAAATGTCGTAGGTAAAATTCTTAAAATATTTCGTATTTTATTCAATACATGTAAAGATTTTATTTAACCTAATGTTGCCTTTAACAGTCCGTCGACAAAGCACCAAGCAAGGCAAACAAATTTAAACATTTTGTTTAGTAGAATATTTTTTCGGTATCGTTAGAAAACTAGCAAAAAACATTTTTCTTCATAATAAACCATGTGTTCAGGTCATAACGAGTTGAAAGAGCAATATAATAATTATAAAAGGTCGTATCTAGCCTAACAAAACCTAGATCTGACGAAATCACATCATACATAGACAATTAATGTAATTCCTACGATCAAGTGTTATATGACAAAATGCTCAAAATCTACAAAGTACAAATTAATTTTCCACGTTTGAAAAACACACAATTACACCCCCATGTTTTAAAATGTGTATATTTTAACCTACACAACTGCTATATTACATTCCTTTTTATTTATATTTTTAACACTTATTGTGCTCAACATCTCAACGTTTAAAACGTATCACATAACAATAGCAATAACGTGGAACACTTAAACTGCTGAGAATGTTTAATAAAAACTCTTCTGTGAAGTAAGTGTTCTCTAAGAACGAGAGAAAACAACTGTAAAGACAAACTGATCTTATGATCGGCCTTACTTTTAATCTTTTTCAAGATAAACATTCTTGTTGGGATGTGTAAGTTAAAACGGACCGATTTTTTGATAACAAGTACAAAATAAATTGGATAATAGAAACGTTAATTTTATAATTTAATACAGAATACTTTTTATAAACAGTATAATATCGAATCCTTACTTCATATTATACAGAAAATTAATCTAGGAAAATTTCTTTTAGACCTTTCCAATAATGCAAATCAAAAGCATTTTTGTTTGGTTACTCTGTTTGACAAATGTTGCTGAAGAAGAGGTTTTACTGGGTTGTTTTTCTGTGCGTGAGTTCATTAGCAATTTGACAAATCGGCCTGTCTAGCATTAAGTGGATTAATGGAACAATGCTTGAAATCTACTGCTATGGATATAAAACTAATAATAGTGGAGATTTTTCATGAGTGCAATCCAATTCTAGTTTACAGTTTATAATGTTATATTACCTGATTTATTATTTTCTTTACTTTTTTGAATATTATTTGACCAACCCCCTGATCATTTAGTTTTTTAAATTGAAGGAAGGTTTGGTAAATAAATATTAATTGATACTAGAATTTTTATTTTTGAAGGAAAATATGAGAAAATAACGGCCAAAAACCCACCTTAAAGTTATTATTATGTACATAAATTGTATGTTCCCTAGGTTCCTATTAAATTTAGGCCTAAGTGGGCCTACATCAACAATTTAGTAATGTTTAGAAAAAGATAAATTAAAACCTTTACAAAATAAAATGCATACAAATATGAAATTGTGAGAACCAATATTTAAAATACTAATTGGTATTTAAAAATCCATTTCAATAACTTTCTATAAGTTTGTTGAGTTCTTTATGCATCTAGGAACTTAACCGTTGTGACTTGAAACAATAATATAACTTAAAATTATATTTTAAATAACTACTAGCTTTAAAACGTTTATACAACCACCACTTTTAGTACAATGAGTTTCAAAAGAATTGAACAGTTTAAAAGTCCGATTTGCACACGTTCATGAACGAGAAACTGATAAAAGATAAAATTCAATTTGTATTCAACGACTCTGCAGTAATCACGTACAGGATTGTTATCACAGACGAGCCTAATGGGAAAAGTACTATTTTGAGTACTGCAGTTGGCCATGTTTTATATATTTCTTTTATTTTAGACTATACTATTCAAATTGATACGTGGTGAGCAATGACGAATTATTTATAGAGATAATCAAGTGCTTTACCTATATTAATAATACAATTAACATAATTCAGTAAAGATATTATTTTTTATCTAATCCACATGAACTTAGTAAAACTTAATAGATTATTCTGGATTGGGTATTCCGTTCTGTATAAGCCTTTATAAAAAAAGAACTGTATAGAATCTAATGAGATTAAACACCCCTATGCTTTATCCTTGTTATTCTATGATGTTTTTTGTATATATTTGCACGGAAATTTATTTTAATACAAAACAAAAGCAATGAGTTATTCCTCTACCTTATAATCGAAAAATGATTAGTTTTGACTAATGAGTTTGATTGCAGTTCATCTAAATCAATGGTATTTCATAGGGGTTTACTTTCTTGCATCATGATTTTTGTATTATTAATATTAATACAAGCAATCATCTTGCTATCCTATTCTGTATATATTTGGCTCATGTTTAACATAAAGTCCGTACAGGTAATTTAAGTAAAATGAGCAAAGTAATATTACAAAAATATATCCAGGAACCTGTGGTTTAAAAATAAAACAGTGCCAAGCCATACAATTGAAAACACATTTTTTTGACTGTTTGAAAATTTAAAGATGTAAATCATATCAATGTTAATATCGATTTTCAATTATCCATTCATTGCACATTTACAATCAAACAAAACGTGTTTTACAACCCTTATGTATGGATAAGTTTCTAATAACATTATGCAAATTTGCATTCAAACAAAAAGTGTTTTACAACCCTTATGTATTGAAAAGGTTTTAATAATGTTCCTCGTCTCATTTACACATTAAATCTTTGTTTTATTGAAAATTATATAACAACTGTAAATATTTTTAAACTTTTAGTTTTTTTTACAACTACAAATACATGATGCCAAAACACTATTAGGCCTATGTAAAAGGAGTGAGTTAATTATTCTCTTGCTAAAAGAAGAAAACATACCTCAGAAAGTCTGTGCATATTTTAAATGTGCGTATTTCAATTTTCTAGTTTAAATTTATCCTGTATTCTTACAGGCTTCTACGGTGTGAAAGTAAACTGTTATTTGTTAGTTTTCATTGAGATGTCAGTACTGGTTGTCGTTTTGGAAGCGTTGCAGCGCTAGACAAACTATATTGCCAAACTGGTGGTCATCTCCTTAAGACCAATTTTCGAATATATATCCCCAAATTGACGTAAGAGTTAACAAATTACTGGAATTGATCAATGTTTCCCTTGGTGTTCCAGGAGTGAGGGCTCGAGTGATGGAGTCAGCAAGAAGTTCCTCTGGGCGAAGGCCGTCAGCAAGATCGCGGCCAAGAAACAGCTGGAGGGAGTCATGCAGATCGCCGTACCTTGTGACGTCACCAGCGGGCCCCCCACCGTCACCGTTAGCAGCCATGACACCATGGACAATAGTAAGGTAAGACCATAGCTAACCGATTCCTAAAAATCCACTTAGGACACCTTTAAAAAATCTATGCTTTTTCGATTATTCAATGAGTCTGTCTCACAGTTCCTTATCTGCTGATGGATAGGATTCCTTAGTTTAACATACAGTACAATTTTCACAGTAGTCTATATAAAAGCTTCAATGTAGTAGCTTCAAGTGTAGCTCTTTGCTAACGCATAGTTTAAATATGTACCGGCGTTCTGAGGTATGTTTCCTCTTATAGCCAAGAGAATAATTAACTAACTCCTATTCCATAGTGATTTGAAATCATGTCTTCGTAATTGTATTATATGCTGCTTTAAAAATTGTTTACCTACGACCGTTTTTTTAAGTATCCGTTTCAGTTCAGTTCTTAGAATTGAAAATTTTCTCATATCAGCATTGTTCACCATCACCAACAATGAATTTCAAACAAATAAGCATTGTCTACTTTCATAACAGCATAGTTTTACTCATAACAACACGGGTAACGGACCAGTGAGGTTCAAGGATTGAGAGAGAAGAAGTACAATTGTAATTTTTCGAACTTCAATTAATCATCTGTTCAGGTTAATTTAATTATTAAATGGTGCAATTAGTGTTTGGTACAATGTTTCGTTGCATCACTGTCAGTGGCAATGAGAGGTTATAAAAAAAATCATAACCTCTCTTAGAAGTTATGAGTAGTGATTTTTTTGCAATTAAAACACTGTCTGTAAATAAGAAGATCTATAAGTAATCAGAAAATAAATTAGGTCAGCTGAATTACAAATATTTAGAGTTGTCCTCTTCTAGTTAAAGAACGTGACAAAATTCAAATTATTGTCTTGCAACCGAGCCAAAGATAAATTGAGCTGCAGATGTAATAGTTGCTCATGATTGATATCAACTCAACTTTCACAGATCTAATCCACTGGTTTTAGTAGGAAAACAATCGAATTTCGTCACTGTTTAAGTATGATCAATGTATGTAAAAGTTCAATCAAAATAACATTACTTTGCGAAAGAATTGTTCATTTCGCATTAATAAACCTGTATTTATACCTCTTAACATACCATTTAATTCTTAAATTTGTAATGTAAAACTTTATGTTACATTATTACTCGAGTTGAATTTTCAGCTGCTTTTAACAAACACATGCACATTACCAAATTTAAAGAAACACTGTGTTAAGTATTATTTTATCTGTGGGCTTATAGAGTAAAGATTCGTGAACTCTAGGTCTCAAGATGGTAACATCTAGAGTAAATGTTGCAGTAAACCCAAGAGACATTATTGTTGAGGATGCTTTTAAGACTGCAACCGATTGCTGGAAATCTTTTATCTTGAATCAGGCCAAGTTTCGATGATATAATGACTCTTCTGTGGTGCTTATCAGTTTAATATCCTAAATTGTACACTAAGAAAACACTGGTCTTTAAATACTTTTGAGATGCATTATTTTAAAAATCATGATCTATTTGGAAATACTCTTTGGATATTTCAATATATTATGTATTGGATAAATCATGCAAATATGATTTTAGAGATTTATTGGAGGTTTGGTGAATCACATTTTTGTATTTATATTGGCTATCAGAAATTATCTATGAGTGCTTAAATGCTCAACAACTCTCAGTTAAATCAGCTTTACAACTCCGAAAAACTGTGTAAGAGGAAGTAAAGTATTATATATTAGAGGTTTAATTAACGTTTTTTGTCTAAGTAATCCTAAATCCCTATAATGACTGGTTTTGACTTATATGGTGTCATATAGACGACTTCAAGATTATTTGGACGAAAAAGGGTAAATCAGCCTATAATTTGTAAGTTAATCCGAAATGCAACTCACAAAATGAAGTAAAATAGTAACTTTAAAGAATTTTACATTTTAAAATAAATTTTACTTTTCAATTTTATAAGAATATGCATACTCTTACCATGTAAATTGAAAAGTCCTGATTATTATAGTTTTGTTTTAAAAATAACAGACATATAAGTAGGAGTTATATTTGTAAAAATACAATAATTACCTATTTTGTTCTTAAAACTCAAAAGGCTAGCTATTTAGAAGCCAAAAAAATGTGCTACGTTATTCTTTGAACTAATAATAATAATATTATAGCAATAAAAGCTGTGCAACATAATAATATCTAGTAATAGCAGGATAAAGTGGATGCTTAAATGTCAGTAAATGATCCCACATTCAAATGGCACTTCTATACTTGCTTTGCAATCAATTCCAAAGCGTTCATGTTCAATTAATTCCATGGCATTCTGTTGTCATTACCATGAAGCTGGTAAACAAACATCGGGTTCATCTCTTCCACACACTTCATCATCATCACATGATAGATAATGCGTTCTGACGATTTAATCGGATTTGAACAAGGTAGAGGTTGTTTAAAATGTTCACTTGGTTTGAAAAGATTTTTAAATTATTATTGATAATTATTGGTAAAATATAGTTGATTGATATTGCATCGAAATATTTTTAATAATACCATGATGATGTGTTTTTAACATGCGAGTTTTTTTTCTAAACGTTATAGGCTTAGAAATAACCAAAAGGTTATGATCTTGTGTTGTAGTTTGTTAGCATTATTTACCACTCAATATTTTAATATACTTTCACAAATAGTTCTAATCACAGATTAGTAGAAGATTTTATTCTGAACGGTTTAGGATTTGGCGATAACTATATTGAATAAGTTAAGCGCAGAATACTGTTTTGTTGGTTGAAAATTCAACAACAGCTTGCGGTAAATATGTATGTTCTACTGTTATAATCAGATATACAAATTGTTATACAATTATGTAGACTTTGTAAACACCATTGATAAATTTATAATACAATTAAACTTACCTCATATTTACTGCTACACAATTGTTAAATAACCCTTGAATGAAATGTAAAACATAAAAAAAATATATAAACACACCATAAATAAAAATTGCAATAACATTTTTCTAGTTTTTAATTGTTTCAGTTTTTATTAAAGGTTTTATATCCATCTATTAGTAGCATATGCCGGACTTAAATCGTATATATTACAAACAAATCTATATTTGATCTTAACGCTATTCTAAAATCCAGTTTTCAAGGTAATCGAATCTTCGTTGATATCATCGCTCAAGGGTTAAGTTAGCTTTTGATCGAGTTAGGATTTGTGGTGGATTTCGGGGTGTAAAAGGGTGAAACGGTGTAAATCTTCCTATTTCTCTGTGTGATTTTCGAAGATTCTGGCGAGCGTTAGTTTTTAGACATTTTTATGCTATAATTTTGATGGTTTAAAATTATCAGATATTTAGTAACATAGTAATATATAAAAAAAAACAAAAAAAAGAAGCTTAAATTATGTATTTAAAAATGCGTAAACCTTAGATTGAGTATTTTTACATTTAACTTGAGTCAGAAACATAACACATATTTTATGAAACATCATACTTAAAGGCTGAACATTTTTATACATACTAGTAAAAAAAGGCTAAGTAATGTGTAGCTAAGTAACACTTCATACGATCACTAGAGGCAATTCAATAATCCTAATATGTTACCCCTTGTTTCTTGTAATATGTTGTTGTTGTTGTGACCTTGTTCCTTCTTGTCCATGTTACTTTACAATAGATTACTCATTTACATGAAATTTAAAGGGAAAAACATTTTAATCATACTACTCATAACCAAATTATACGTTATACGATTACATGAAACAAAACAATTAGCCATTGTAGTCATAAAATCTCTTATATTTATATCCTTACATATAATTGAATTTGGAGATTTGAACTAGTTTTCTCTCAATAAATATATTTTTTCCCGTTGGTCTTCAACGAAATCACAAGTATTTTACTATGGTGCCTAACACTCTGAAATTCAGAAAAAGACTGAGTGTTTCCAAATTGTCTGGACATATTTTGTGGACTTGTGTTGTTGTTGTTGTTGGCTAAGACCAAAAATAAAAAGCCGTATAAGTATGGGTCTTAAATGCCTAGATTTCTGTTTGTCGGTCTGCTTGTGATTTTTAATAGGACTTCGGTTACGCAATTTAATAGGACTTCCATATTGTTTAATATTTGTTATTTTACAGAGCAGTATGATAGTCCTATTAAATGTAGAAAAAACTGATAACTCGGTTGTTTGTCATCCGATTTTAACAAACAAGGACTCATTTCATTTGGATTGAAATTCTCTATCTTTTAAGCTGTTGAACAATTTCCTTTATATTTAATAAAATTTGACATTACAGATTTTAAATGGCCATCATATTGAAACGGCTTGAGATATTGGAAAGAAACTTTGTAAGCTTTCTTTACCTACTAAAATACACATTTATACTAATTTTGAAATTTCCATCTCGAAAAATGCCCAATTCTTAAAGATTATAAACAGACCGACAAAAACAGAAATCTAGGCATATTAGACCCTTAGTTATATGGAATTTTATGTTTGTCTTAGCCCAAGGCACAAGTCCAGAAAGTATGTTTAGACAATATGGAAACACCCTGTATGATACACAATGTTCCATATGACAGTATATCATTTCTCTTCACATGTTCTTACATCGATCACAACGTTTAGTCTGATAAGTCCCATACTCGTCACTTAGCCGAGCTAGGAACCACCTGCGCCTCGGTTTTATGACTACTTCGCTTCATATCATATTTTCCCAAACATTTTCTATTTTTCACTTTCATATTTACACAAAATACAGTATGTTTTTATCCGTAAGGGTGAAAGTAGTTGTATACTTAGGCTTCTGTCTCTAGGAATACATTTCTAAGGATGAAAACGTAACCAAAAAATTCAATTTTCTCTGGAAATAATCAAGATATGAAAGTCAATGTAAAAGGTCCTTTATTTTATAGGCTATTTTGGGGCCACGTAACATTGCTTATCAATGTTTAGTGCGTAAGCATCTAAAAATAAATTTAGATAGACACATTGAATTAATTTTGTAGTCTTATTCTGTTAGACTTTTAACATTCTATGGGTTTATTTATTCCTAAATGTTCATCCTTTAGTGACTTCAATGTGTCCCATAATACTGTTAACTGAAAAATGAACAGCACAATATGTAAAAATTTGTCGTATTAAATCCCACTAGTCTCGTCTTGAAAGAATTAATACAATGTGTTACCGTACCAAAACTTACAGAATGATATGGTAAGTTAATTAAATAACTTTTGTAATAGGTTACGTTTACACTAAGTGCTAAAGTAGAAATTTAATTGTTTATTTCAACTTGCAATATCCTTGTATGTATTTGCAATTACTGTATGTCAATTAATTTGTATTTAAACGTAGCAAAGCCAAAGCTTTAGGGATAGATGATAGTTTGCACAAGATCAATTAGCTAATGTTACATTGAAACGTTCAGAACTAACTGAATGGTCATCTATAGTGGAATTTCTCATTAGCTTACACAGGCTAAGTTACTGTATTTAGTAATAGTTATAATATTATTTATGTTTGATAAATAATATAATCTCTTTAAATGTTTTCTTGCTTTTCTGCTTTGCATCAAATATATAGCTACTGTTCATACTTTTCCGTCCTGATCATTGGGATTTTAATAAATGGTCTTGGATAGTATAATTCACATTTGGTTTTCCAATACTCCTAATTAAAGCCCCCTATCTTAATAAATAATAAATAATAATAATAATAGGTTACTGTTGGAACTTACATAACATAAATATACAGATAATTTGAAACACTACATTATAATAATCGTGTTAACACTATTATTATTTTGGGGTGATTTAAATTTTGTAAAAAACAAATTTAAAACCAGATTAACTGTTAAATACTATTTCATTTAAAATACACTGAACTTAGGCCTTACAATTAATTGTGGTCTTGAACTAATTACTCAAAACCATTACCAGAAAATTAAAAACTCCAAATTTGAAGCATATATTTTTTGTTTAATTAACAATATTGACATTTTATACCCGGTTACTTTTCACAGCAACAATGCATCATGAGTTACAATGATTGTACCTATGACAATGTTTACATCACATTCACTCCTGTATCTAGTGTTCTATTCCAGTCCCAAACAAACAAACTAACATCGGTAAACACACTGTTGAAACAATTCTAGGGAACACAAACAGCTGATGATAGACGTTTTAATGATTAATTATGCACATCAATGTAATACACTTGTTAATTATTGTAGGTAATTAGTTGAATTTTCGTTTACCCTTTTAACGAGTAGGTGCGTGTATTGGAAAATTGTAGAGCCAAAAATTGCAATATACAATATAAAGTGTTCCCTTTTTTGCTCCAAGTGCCAAATGATATTTTAAACAGCTGACAGGTAATATGCATATCGCATAGAGATAAAATCGTTTTTCAAGGTTTTGAAACTATTTGTTATAAAAACAGTTGGCACTTTTAGCTTTAAAATCTGCCACTATTTTACATACATTTTTAACTACTTGTTGACAATTTGACTAGACTGCACAACATACAAACTGTTTCAGTTTCATATATGACTTTGACCGTCATAATTATTTCAAAGCCAGATCTAGATTTTTAATATCATAAAACATTTAAACGTGAAAACAAACTATTGTAAACAATGTGTTTTTGCGTTTCTTTCAAGTTTAATGGCTTGAATCAAAAATCTTAAGTTATTTCTAAATATACACTCAGAAGCGTGTTTTAATGTATACAAATTGAAAAGGCTCATTATCACTTTCATTTCTATTACTGTGTTTAACATGCTTTACGGCCTGTTTTCCATTTATTTACAAACCAATTTAAGTAAAGCAAATACCTATTCATTTTGATAATTTCATCTTTGATATTTTTTACATCGACAGATTAAATTGTAATTGACAGTTGTGGGATTCGGTAAATGGAAAATTTGGATGTGTTTATTCACAAGGAAAATCTATTTCCAATTAGTCGATGTAGTATGGGATTTATATACGTTTACGACTGAAACCAAATACGACGATACATAAGAAATACCTAATGGGATTTATAGCATATTATGCATAGGTTCGTTAAATATAGTGGAGATTTGCAGGTCTAATAGTTCGATAGATAACAAATACAAGACATTTTTAACAGCTTAATAGATATTATTGACTCATACTAATAGCTCAAAAGATCATTTTGGCAGATTAAAGACTCGTGTTTCAACGAGAGGGTTGTTTTTGCTACAATCTATCAATTTCAAACTTCAATCAACTCAAGTATTTACCCGATAATGTTTCAGAATGTAAACATCGGTCGTTGCGTTGTGTTTTGATAAATCAACAAATTAAAAACTGTCCACCATCAAAATCAATTTTACCTTGACCAACTTGCTAAATTTGATTTGGGCCGTATTAGTAAACATGTTGTTCTATACAGAATTTACGTCTTGTTTTAAATAGTTTTTTAACTTTCTTTTAACTAATTATTTATATTATCTACTGTATGGTTAAGTAAAAGCTGGTTATAACCATAAATATCCAGAGTATAAATAAATTAGTCAATATAATTATAAGGTAATACGTATTTTTGCTAGTATAAGCGATTTCAGAGAATATATATTTCTTATTACACATATCTCCCAAGGAATTAATTTTATACCATGTGGCAACATTTGAGTACATTCGTCTTTATATTCGTGACTATTTTGGTCTTAGTTGCAGTTTAAATAAAAAAAAAACTGTTTGGAATTTACATTGGGCTATTTGACATACCGTATCTAAACTATTGTCTGAAAAAGTAAAACAAATCTAAAATCCGTAAATTCATCCTTAAATTCGTATGCACAACAATCAAACACATATTTATCACTGCATATATAAAATAAGCGTAGTAAGACTAGTTGAAAAAGAATTGGTTGGGGAATTTTTTAGAAAATTCCAAATTCATCCAATTTAGTTTCCATTACATTTTTGTGTACATGTTACAATGTTATTGTGCAAATAAGGTTCAAACCTGTTTCAGGATGAATGTAATTTTAGGAACATCATATTATAAAGCTAAATACTTACCAATAAAGCTGTGTTAAGCTAAGGTTATTTAACTGTTATCATAAACCAAGGCACACGGAGCCACGCCCTCGTTCATCAGACCTCAGACAAAGTACGGTTATGGATATTTTTATGGTGTTCTTGACGCCGATCTCACTCTTCACTCTACAACCCCCTCCTGAACTTACAAGTTATAGCTGAGTCTTCATAATTTACCCGTTAACTATAACCCAACACAGATATGTTAGGGAACAAAAAAAATCTGTTTTGACAATAAATTTATAAATTATGCTCTTTATTAGGAAAGAAAAAAAATAGGAATAAATAATCATTAGAGATAATAAAACGGATAGTTCATTCTTGTTAGGCAGATCAATTATTTTCACCAGTTAGTTTGTATGCAATAGCAAAGTAGTACATGGTTAAAGTAATAAAGTTCAAACTGAATTACTCCTGTTTAAATTAAAGCTAATAAATCATAGCTCTGGTATTGCGTTCGTTTATTTAATTTATAAACTGGTTCTAGCAATTAGTTATAGTTTCGTTTACTAATGACTTTTGTCGCATTGTACTCGTATATATCTTATCGTTTGGTGGGAGGAGGTATTAAAATATCATAGAAGTGATTGAGGTTGAGTTATTCATTGAAATGGAATATGCATTGTCACATTATGGTATGTTTCAGATAAAAATGTTAAAAACTCACCTGTAACAAAAATATAATAGTTTTGTATTTTTCAGGTTGAACGTAAGGAATCCCAAGGAGATCTAACGCCGATAGCAGACGCGGCTGACGCTAGAACCGTCACCACCGTCGACGACAACGAGGACTTCGATCTGGGCTGGGCAGGTAAGGCATATTCTTATACCTATTTTACTGTAAATATATTTGAAAATTTAAACATCCATTACAAAAAATTCGGGTTCTTCTGTAAAAAATTTAAGAAAAATGAGGAGGTGATAAAGTTTTAGAAATAGGAATTGTTATCAAAATCGTAAATTGGACCCACGATTTTTTTGTCTACAGCTTTCAAATAGGTATTCCCCACTAGAGTCTGTAGTGTGCGACTAACTGTAATGATAATGGCGATTAGTTTTAGTGAAATTAATTGTTCTTCTTCGTAAATAATGTTTATTGGATATTTTATGGTTTTTATTGTGTTGATAAACAATTCGATTTAGTTAGTACTCTCTGAGTTTTATTAGAATAATGAAGATGTGTAACATAATTAACATGACTTGAACACGTAACTACTGGCAACATTGCAAGCACCCGCTTAGTTAAATTGGTAAAATTCGTTGCCGAGAAAATGTGACACACAAACTTGTAGCGAAAAATGTTCATTTAACTTTTGACACCGAATTTGTTCTGATACTTCGCGTTTAAAATTTTATTTTATTCATGATTGTCACTGTGATTTATCATACTACTTTAAAATATGTACATAGTTATTTTTGTAAAATTAAAAATTAAGCTATATAAACCGGACCTAAACCAGTGCATGTTAAATTCTTGGTTTGTTAACCATTCCTTTTACATATTAATATTAATACACACAACCCTTCTTAATTTTAATGTAAAACTAAAATACCACAACTTTAAATACTACACCTAAAATATGCCTAAATTATACATTAAATATGACTTTTAAAGTGAGTTTCATTATCAGGGAATATTTCAGAGTTAATGAAAACTGTTATTAAATCTAATGAGTCAGAGGAACTTTTGAGGAGAAATTTGTATCATGACGGTTAAATTTGTGTTATTCCATAGCTAAATTGTTTGTTTTTAGTTGAAAATGTGCCAAGAATTGCAATTTAATTTTGAAACTCAGTGTATACAACTTTGGACTTACAAATTCGCCTGTGTTTAAAAAAACGATAATTGTTTCGAAATATCCTTCAACAATAGGACTTGTCTATTAATGTGTAATAAAATTACTATTATGAATATAAGGAGCGAGCTGGTTTAGTGGTAGAGTGCGGGGCTTCAGTGCACGAAGTCCTGGGTTCAAATCCCGCCAATCACCAATGGATTTAATCTAAGTGATAATGCCGCAACCATATAGGACTAGCCTGAAGTAATGTGAAAAACATTTCTGGGCTAGAGCTAGTGTCCTGGATGTGAAGGTGGGACAGAAAATAAGACTATTATTAATATATTTTAACCCATATCATACTATTATTTTGTTACTGATAAATACCTGCCCAGTTATTTAACGTTCCAATTAGCTTAAGATTTAATAATTGATTTTCGTCGTAATTTCCTTATGAAGGGATGTTTTTGTATCAAACAACTTTAATACAATTAAGCATTCTAAGTTATTAAAGTAGGGAAAGACATTCGGTCTGGTATTCATAAGCTTGTAACTAATTTTAAATAATGTTTTATTCTTCAAGGCTATTTTTTATTTGCAAACGATTTTCCAAATAACACTGCCTTGTTGAACATAAATTACAAAATATGATTTTGTTGAGTCATCATTGTATTAATGTTGGAGTGTTTTCACAGTTTCAAAATACAAAAGTAGCTTCTTTAGAATTTGTCTTTGTTCTTCCTATATACATATATAACTCAAATATTTGTTGCGCTTTAATATTTAGTTTATGCATAGGTTAATTTAAATTTTATTTTAACACCAGAGTTTTTTATCATAGTTTTCTGTACATGTTCATCAGCAGACAGTGAATCTCGAAAAATAATTTCAACCATTATAACCATACAACTCTAATGAGCAGTTTACACACGATATGCATGGCTGATAAAATCGAAATTGAAAAAAAATAAGAAAATGCAGGTGTTCTGAACAGTCCCAGCAATAGGCCTAGTCATCTTTTTCGTATTCCACACATTGCTTATTGATATGTAATCAAAAAAGGTATTGATATAGAATTATTTCAAATTTTTGCAGATAGTAGAAAATTTGAATCAACTAATAGAATAAAAACAGTACAACCCTTCCAAACATAGTGGCCGATAAATAGTTTTAATTTTGTTTTATATTATATTTTATAACTTTCTTCGTCGTACTTATTCATCCATTATTATCAAAATTTAGATAATTTTAAAATAAGAATAATTTATATTCAGGTTGTTCAAAGATAGTACTGGTTGCTGTTTCCACACGTACTAGTTTAGTCCAGTTTAGGCCTGCCAACAATCAATTTGTTTTGTTTATGAAATGTAATAGATCCATGGATTTCAGCTTAATATAATTATCATACTCCTATTTTAATTTAATCAACCAATTAAATGGTTTGTATTGCTAGAGAATAGTCGTCCTTTTAATTAAATCTAGGTCTTCAATTCCAAATAGAACTCTGTGTCAAATAGTGTGGTTGTTTTTCTCATCAGAAGTGTATAAAGCAGCATTCAATCTGGAACAATAGAGCAAATTACACAGGCTACAGTTTTATAAAGAGCTTTAGAAAATGCTGGAGCCTAACAATTTCATCATTAGTTAAATCATCAGTCAACGGAAGCGTAGGGATAAATTTAAAATCTGTTTTCTACCAAATTATAAAACACATTTACTGTTTAACATTTTATGAAATTTCAATTTATTGTGGCCATACTTTAATCATGCAAACAGATTAATTCTTTTGGAGGAACGTTTAGATAATATAAAACAAATATTTTACTGATTTTCTTTCAAATACCAAGAAAACTAACTACGTCTGTACTGGAACCCAATACAGAAATAGAACAACTATACGACTTGGAAATAAAAGTCCCCGAGATTGATTCGATGCAGATGCAGAATACCAGAGGAAACTACTTTGCAGTTACAAAACAACGGACAACATTATCTTTGTTTTGTGAATGGCCTTGGAACCTTTTCCAAACTATACTAAATACTTATTTCCAATAGTATAGATATAGTTACGCTAACTAAATTTAGTTGGAAAAAAACAAATTTAGATGGTTATGAAATTGACGAAGAGGCCACTGCGCTAATTGGGCATTTAGTGATCAAATTTCGTGTGAGTGGCAAAAAGAATAATGCAATATCCTTTCATCTCTCAATGTATACTTCTTACCTGAAAAAATTAGTAGTGAAGAAAAGCCTCCTTGTACGAAAATTAATATATTTGTTTGCTAAACACTGTTGTTATAATAATACTATTAACTTTTAATACTCCAAATATTTTTTTAGTAGATTAATTGAGTAGCATATTTAAAATTCATAAACTGTGTCGTGTCCTGTTTATAATCTGACTGTGGTTGAAAAATCTATTGAAAGTAATCAGCTAATTAATTATAAATCATATTTGAAACATATTATAAAGAAAATAAGTCGGTAACAATGGACCTTTGAAAGTCCCTTTTAGTAATAAACCAAAAGCCAGAGGCAGCCTAATGAAAATTACCTTTTTAATTACCTTTGGTCCCTCCGCTAGATCAAAAGCTTTAAAAGCACACCTCAACCGTAAAAAGTTTAAGTTGGGCAGGTGAAAGCAATGAAACCCTTTATTGTGTTATGTTCACATATTAATATCTAGTATATAGGGTAAATTCTTTATTCAGTTAATTTTAAACAAAATCCAGACAACCTGTTGTAATCGGTCACACAAATTTAAACACAACTGAAGTAATTAGTAAATAAATGTTTTCCATATTAAAGCCAACTAGATTAAAAGAAGCAAACTTTAATTAGTCATTAAGCAGATTATCAGCGCGCGTGGTGTTCGTCAACTTAAACTCCAATTTTTCTTGATTACTGCAGGCATTCTTGACATTTCAAAACTTATATTTAATTTTGAGTTGTTGCCAAGGGTTATGTATTAACTTTACACAAGGACTTATTTGACATAGTATTTAAAAAAGCGTATAATAATGAATAAACTTTTATAAACAAAAAAACTCACATTTTATATTAGTTTGCAGTAAATATGGTTCGGAGTGTAAGATGTACTCAAACAAGTAATTTAATACAAAGAGAAAACCATCTGTGTGCCGTCGGCTTCAGTTTCAGCCAATCAAAACCACACAAAAAATATTGTTGTACAGACCTTTGATGGAACAGTCCCTACGTTACTCAGATTTGATCAAACAAACAGATTGTCAAAATCAAATAAATAACTGACTTCATGTCACCTACCAGATCTCGTAACCTTTTTGGAAGTTTTTTTATACTCGGGCTGTATTGGCATTCAGTAAGAACATGTTGTGGAGACACTGTTGACTTAAAATATTTGTTAGTTATTAAAATTAATTCCATCGGAAGGTTCTTAGCTTATTTAGGTATATATGTTTTACTAGGAGATCCTTGCGTATTTTGATAAGGTTCAAAACTTGTCTCCGTGGCAAAACAAATACTGCAATACCCTTTTACCTTTAAACGCTAGAAGGGGCGAAGTTTTAGAGAAAATTGCCTTTTAGTTACACCATTCATCCTTTGGATGGATCATAAACATTCCAATGGCACATCAGTTGTAAAAGTCTTAAGAGCTACGGGTTAAAATGGATGTTACAAATACAATTCTATTTAGTATTGAGTTTTAAATCCCTAAAGGCAAACAACACTATTCAAAGTCTTATATATCGTTCCTTTAGAATTATGTACTATGCTGCTATGAGTTTATTCTTGTATTTCTCTGTAAAATATTTGTGTAAAATAAACTTATCCGTCAGAAAACCTGCCTGAACAATTGAATGCAAATAGAAGGCTTTCGCTAAGGCCGCGTCCCGATAGGGTATCCAGAGAAACAAAAATCTACTTCAGTGTTTTCCGCTTCAGCGTTTTCTTAGTGTATTGAACAATATCTCGTAAATACAATTTCGTCAAAAATGCACAGCATTGATAGAGATTTCCCTGGCATTTCCCAAAATGATTAAGAAGGGAACAT